TGCGGGCACATCAAGAGTCACAGAATTGCATGAGCTCGAGGAATTCAGGTATCTTGCTTTTGAGAGCACAAGGCTGTACAAAGAGAGAATGAAGAAACTACACGATTAAAACATTGTTGAGCGAAATTTCAAACCTGGGGACATGGTATTGCTATACAACTCAAGACTAAGGTTGTTCCCGGGCAAGCTGAAGTCACGATGGTCGAGACCATTTTGAGTAGTTGAAGTTTTCCCGTCAGGAGCGGTTGAAGTTGCCACTGAGAATGACTCTCGTACATTTAGAGTCAATGGTCAGAGATTGAAGTTGTATGTGGGTATGAGCGAGCTTAAGGAAAGGTCTGAACTACACCTGACTGAACCACAAAGGTCGAGCGAGTCTTAAATGCGCTCATCCTGCGTCGTGCCGCGACATTAAATCAGGCGCTCCGTGGGAGGCAACTGACGAAATTGTTGTAAGTATAACATAAAAAAAAAGACGTCAGAATCAGAGACGCGGTCAGACCGCGGTCAAATCGCGGTACTGACCCCTCTCTGAACCCAGGTCATCGCATTTCCACCGCGGTCGCGGTAGAACCGCGGTAAGTAAGACCCTCTGAACTTGGTCTACCGCGTTTCTACCGCGATCGCGGTAGAACCGCGGCAAACACAGATCGGGTCCAGGTCCAATTTTTTTTCTTTTCCCTTTTACCCAAAATACCCCACCCCCACCTACCACTAATCCCCCCATCTGCCCAGCACAATAAAACACAACCCCCCTTTCTTTTCTCATTCTCTTCTTCTCCATCTTCTCTCTATGTTCTCTCTTCCACTCTTCTCCTCCCAAAACCCCATTATCACACTCCCTTGCCATCCACCTTCATCACCCACTTCTACTCAACCACACTAGTAAGTTTTTATTTTTCTTTCTCTATTTAATCTTCTATTTTTGTGTAATCTAGAATACTTTTACTTAGTTTAAACCTGGGTAGACTTCGTATAATTTTTATCAATTTTCGCTTTGTTCTTGATTTTCGTTGTTGTATGATAATGTTGTGAACTTGGTTGGTGTTAAGGTGTTTGGACTTCATGTTATTTGTGATGTTTTGGTCTAAAAATCTAATCTTTTGGGAATAGTTGTTGTTAGGCACCATGT